GACAAATATTTAAATTGTGTAATATCCATCAATGAAACAAGTTTGATTTAAAATTGAGTTTCAGCTGGCGATGTTCATTCACTCGGTCAGCAATACAAATTTTGATGCATCAGACCCAATGGTTTTGAATGAAAGGAGTGCAGTATACCCTCTTTTTGATTCATTTGTGCTTTGAGTTCTATGGGCACAGAAATATGAAGCTAACTGATTATTAAAGATGAGACATTGCATTGCAAGAAGGTGTAATTTAAAATTTTTTTTAAGAATTGAATTTCTCTGGTCTTTTGTCCACTAAAGTTTTCAACTTAGACATCTTTTGTGAAAGATAATTTCAAATCTTATGGTTAGATCACCAAATTGATGTGCCTCCCTTTTTCTTTAAGATGGGATTATTTTGATATGTGTAGGGGAGGGAGACAATTCAAAGTGCAATGTTTTAAAAACACAACTATGAAATTGTCAACTTTGAAAATGTGAAAAAAATGCAGAACATTATTTAAATAGTGACCTAATTTAAAGAGATGTGGAATAACAACTAATAATTACACATGAAAGTGAATTGTATCATTAGAAAGAGAAAAGATTAAATTTTCTTTACATACTAATTTTATCAAAATAACCTCAATAATAAATGAGATATCAGTAGTTTAAATGAAAATAAATTTCACTATTTGGACATATTTTCACATTGTATACTAGGTTAGTTTAGGATAACTACTACAATATTCTATAAAAAATGATTGAATATTAAACATTTAATAATGACATTCCCGATCATGCTGCCAATGAGCAAATAAGATTATTTTTTACGAAAAGTGACTTATATAATAAACCCGATTTAAGCTGCTACGTAAATACTATTAACTTATTTTAATATAACAAGATGTACTCCAATTACATAAAAGATGAAAAAGCAATAAAAAAAATATAATCCATAGACTCCTGTAGATAGAAGAAATTGCCTAAGATTCATTATATACTAAAATAAATTAAAAACTCCTAATCTTTATTATTGCTAACAACACTTCACAAAAAAACTTTGTAAACAATTGAGGGTATACCAATTCTTTTAAGAGACTGAGTCTCCATTGATAATGAAAAAAGGAGATCAACATATATTGGTTAAATCACAGTATTGTTCTCTCTAAACAAAGTGTCATATGTAAACACAAATTCATGTTACCTCTTCTAATTTTCATCTATAATATTCAGCCAATCTGACTGCAAAAGTGATTTAAAATTCTGAAAGCTCTTTCCATCAAAAGACATCAATCCACTGTTAGCTGTAGTGTGAGTGTATATGTGGTTTTATTTGAAATCAACTAATCACTTTGCTGAGGGGGAGAAATCTCTGGTGATTTAAACACATCTTGTGTTGTCACTACTCCATATCAGTGCAGAGAGAGCAAGACTGTTTATAGGCCTTCCTTATATAATCCTGAATATAGTGCCATCTAGTGGGCATCATGACAGACTACATGGAGTAACCCGTATACTCTCAACTTTGTGGTTACTAACAATATTTCTCTACAAAAAAACCTACTTTTCAAAAGACAAATTTTGCATAGCAATCCTCTTGTCTTTTGGAAAAGTGTGTCCCTGTTGCTAAAAAGACATCAACATATCTTGGTCGTATCATGACATTTCCCTCAAAAAGATTGGCCTGTTACTTCTCTGAGCAGTGTCATGTATATAAACATTCAAAACAAGTCTATAGTGCCTTGTGGATGGTAGTATGTTTTTCTTATACATGTCGACAGTCACCAAAATGTTCACATCAGAGCAGCAGAAATTAGTTTTGTGTTGACAGAGATAAAAGAAAACTTGACACAAAATAAAACATACACAAAATAACTGGAAAGTATAGTAAATTGTATGTTAATTTCATACAATTTATTTATATTTTTGTGTATTGGTGTGTGTATTTTTTAGATTACAATTGTTTCATGGTACATGTTATAAAAGGGAGAATTTACTCTGTACTATTACAAGCCATATCACAGAGAGAAGTTACACATTTTTTACCCATACCAAGGTTTGTGGAGAAGATTGAATTTAATGTCTTTTGGCAGGATGTCCATATTTCCAGCAGGAATAGTTTTTATTATATGGTGGCAGTATTTTCATTATTTTAAATTTTTATTTAATTTATTTTATACAACATTTTTATGTTATTGTTTTATTTTATTTATAATTTTCATTATTATTTTATATTTTATTTTTATTTATTTATAATAATAATAATAATATTCCTACAGCTTCTCCTAATTACCAGGTTATGGATGACATTACAACAGTATTATGCCAATCCAACTGCAAAAAGCAATTAAAAATGGTGGGGGGCTCTTTGTATCAAGCTATGACAACTGACCATCAATAAAATTTGTTTTAATCATACCCTGCATGTGTCAAAATGCCTTTGAACAATAGTTTTAGTCATGGGAAACTCTAACTTATTCCACCAGGATGGCATGTGAACCCATGTTCATTTCAGACTCTGGACCATTAACCGCATAAATACTCCACTGGCTATCTCTTGGCTTATAGCTTCTTTCCTTCAAAATGCAATGGTCAAAAGTATTTGGGACATTACACCAGTGGCGTAGCTAGAGTAAACGTCACCTGGGGCGGTCCACTCAAATGTCACCCCAATGACCCCAATTCACCCTATGCTGAATGATTAGCTGTAGCTAAATTTTCATACATGCTCTACCTCTACTTTACTCTACTGACTGGTACATTACTGTTTACATGTATGATCCAAGACAAAATCCAATACCACAAAATAATCAGTTCAAATCAAAAGATTTTTAAAATGCAACTGTTCACTTTCAGAACAACTAAATACAAAACACAGCAATACACAAAATAATGACATTCGATACTATGGTCTTAGAATGAATGTTTTCTTATTTTCATTGTGGCAAACTGGTCAATGACATCGTCAAAATCTGTTTGTCTTGTAAACTCGTTTTCAATGGACAGCACAGCCAGATCCGACAGTCTTGACTGGCTCATGGTTGACGTAATTTTCTGTTGCTAATTTTCCGGTGTCCAATTTTCCTTGCATCATTTTCTGGGTACCATTTAATTATCAATGATGTTTGAATGTATTTTTCTTGACAAAAATGTTCTATTTAATTTTTAAGCATTTTTCGGAATTGTAAATTAACTGCATTCTTTTAAAGGTTACCTAGAAAATTTATGCAAAGTTTATTTTTTTGTTTTTCTTTATACAAGTAAAATAAATTTACATCGTATTTTGATGTTATTATGATTTTAGTTTTAGTGATAATTTAAAAACAATAAATATTTATCATTACTACCAATAATGGAAAATTAAGTTAAAAATTTAAAAGAATCGTTCTTGGAATCGGAAAATAGGCACAAATTTTTCTGATACCCCAAAAAGTTCCAATTTTTCCGATTCTCGATTCCGATTAATCGTCCCAACACTAGTAGATATATTCAAAAGTATATCGCTCACTCAATGGAAAATTGTATCTCAGCGACTTGATACACAGGCAAGACTGAAATCATTGCACTTTTGGCTTCATATTTCGCTTTGTTGTTATATTAATGATGCAGAGTTAAAACACCATATCATCCAATAAAATGTTACAACAATGTCTCTTGTTAGTAACCAAGATTGTAGCAACTGAAACACATGAAAGCTGAAAACATTGCTATTTTTCCTACTCACAAATTTCTCGACAATTTATTAGAAAATTTCTGACAGGGGGACAAAACTGGGGGTCATAAATTATTTCTGGTGTGGTCATATGCCCGTCTGCGAAACCCTGTGACTCCACCACTGTTTTCAGACTATTTTTGTCGCCTTACCCTGGTTGAAAAATTTTGTTGGGGGTGACATTGTGTCACCCCTCCTGTGCTGGCACCCGGGGCGGTCCGCGCCCCCCGCCCCCCCTAGCTACGCCACTGCATTACACACAATTTTATTTCTTTACAAGTTTCCACCAAACATCGAATGACTTATTTGGAGAAACCCAGCAAAAGGTTTAACATATATTCCTTGTCTGATAAAACAAATTGAAATATTGCTGCCTAAATATATTCTTTTAAAATATATATTAAACCCAGTGCCCATGGATTAGTAATACACAAAACATATCACTGTTTTCATTCATAGTGTAGACCAAATGCAACTTGGATATATTTTGCATAGATAAACCCAAAATATATCCAAATAAAATTGTATAAAAAGAAAAATTACTTGTGTGAACTCAAAGCAGTATTTTTATAATATCTGTACATGAAGTGGGAGATTGGTTTTCTAATGTTATTAAATAAAGATGTAAACAAAATTTAACTTCCATACTTAAAATACTGTCTTAATGTCCATATTTTTTCATTCAACCCTAACTTCAATTACACCATTATTGAAATCTGTGTACAAAAATAAAATGTGAACTCTGTAAGTAAAAATCTTCCAGTTGTCATTATAGAAATAAAGTATTCATTAAAAATCTGATGATTTGATGATTAATTCACTTATTTATTTGGATTTTGAAAAATATATTGTATCTCTGTTCCATAATATTTGTTATATTTTCATACATATTTTGTACATTAAATATACTATGGAACAGGTAGTATTTTTCTTACATAAAACATAGTTAAAAAAAAAAAACATCTTTTTATAGTAGAGTGTTCAGCTACCTTTCCCTATTCAATAGTAATAAAAATCCCCATTAAATTTATTAGCATCTTATGAGACAGTTGAAATATGGATGACTAAAATTAACAAAATCTGATACTATCCATAATGGCAAAAGTATATTTCCAATATTAAAACCCTGTCACAGGTAACATTCTCGATAATAATACTGTTATTTGTTAAGAATATTTTCATTTGAGGTGATTTTTTTTTTTTTCATTGCGAATTCAAATAATTTTTAAAAGGAAAGAAGAAAAATCTACCTTGTTTTACTATTGATTTTTGTTTGTTTAAAAATATTTTTGGGAATTGTTGCTTTCAGTTCTGTTCGCTGCGTTCAGTGGAGCCAGACTGATGGAATATGTTACTTGAGTATTGCACATAAGGAGTGTGTTACTGTCTGGAAAGTGGAAGGAGAAGTGCCTCGGTTAGAGTTTAAACAGATTCGGAAAATTTCTATTCAAATACTCCCTCAAGGTAAGTAATAATTTCTATTCAAATACTCTATCACGGTAAGTAATAATTTAAAAAGTTTCCAAACTTTAAATCATTGTATTACTTGTAATTTTGTTATTCAGATCTTTAAAAATTTACTTTAACTTTTAATCTTAATTTATTTATTACATACAGACATAAGCCAGTTGGTTCTTAATCAATTACTGTAGTTAAGCAATGTTCAATATTAAATGTATTAATATTAGTAGTTCTTGGTACATCTTCTTGCATGGTTGTTAGCAAAAGGAACATGCAAATTACAAATTGTAAATATCAAAATCAAGCAAGTACAACAATTTGAGTATTTTTAACACATGATGGAAAGTGAGTCACTGTATTCCAAAGATGTATTCTAAAAGCTAAGTATAGTATTAAGAAACAGAAAAGTTTTGTTAAAAACAAAGAAAAAAAAATACTGAACTCTTATATAATATCAGTTCCCCTATATAACAGTGAATGCTGGGCAAGCTACTTAGAGATGAAGAAGAGACTTGAAGCAACAGAAATGTAGTTCTACAGAAGGATGTTGAGGATGCCATGGACCAAATACATGATCAGTTTTAGAAAAAATGGAAACAAAAAGGAAACTTATGCTTTGGAAGAGACAGTTGAAATTTCTGTGGCACATAATAAAGAAAAAGTGCTTGGAAAATCTGATACTCACAGGACAGATTGAAGGCAACAAGGACAGAGGAAAACAATGTATAACCTACTGAATGGGAGATCAAGGTTTAGGAGAGATAACAGACAAAATTTATTAATAGCTACAAAGTACAGGGAATTGTGGAGAGCTCTGATTACCTATATCTTGAAGAGGGTACAGCACACAGAAGATTTTTTGGTACAAAAATTCTTTTTTTTTTTTTTTTTTTTAATTTTTAAATTTTAAAAAATTTTATTTTTGTTGTTTATAGATATTGTTAAGATCGAAAAATTTTGAAAATAAGTCTAAAAGGAGATTCTAAAAGTTCTCAGATCAACCAAGACCCCTTTATCCCCTGTTAAATATATATATATATATATATATATATGATGTCTATCTAGAAAGTATTAATAAAAGAAAGAATATTCTAGCTAAGGCTATGGAGAAGTGTAATTCTTTTGAAAAGTGGGGAAAAATGTCTGAATGTCTATAGTGTTTGTAAAGTCCTGTTTAGCTTGCCTTGTTCTTTGGTACTGAATTTCAACAGCTGTTTTATCTTTGGAAAAAGTCAGACATCATTGAAAACTAAATCTAGAACATGCAGGAACTGACTAACCTGGGTGATACACTGTTTTGCACCTCACCCACACACATAAAAAATCTCACTGTCAAATGAATAACTCCATTTGAGAGTGTCTATTCAAGCATGTGGTGTAAGGTACCCTCTGATTTGTTACCAATCACATTAAATCTACACAACTGGTTCTCAAGATATTCAAAATAGCACACACACACACACACACACACATGTATGTAATATATATATATATATATATATATATATGGATGGATGGATGGCTTGATGATTGTGTTTAAGCATGAAATAGACTGTCATCACCTAATGTTGACTTCAGTGTCCACGTTTATATTTACATATACACTGTTCTTGATGTCGAGCACTTTAACCTATGCATATAGCATACCATAAAACTATATTTTAATATATATACACATACACACTACAGTTCCAAAGATTGAGGCCCCTGGTAATTTTTTAAATTGGCCCCAAAAGTAGTTCTTTTGTACTTTAAATAAGAGAAAATTATACATGGTTAAAAAAAAAATGAGATTATTTTTTTGTTAGAAATTTTATTATGACAAAAAGGAAAAATCCATTTTGTGATTGAATTTTGCTCAAAATATCCCCTTTTAGGCTTGATCACTGCAGCACAAATTTTTGGCATTCATTGCAAAAGTTTCTCAAAGTATAATTTTGTTAATTGATTATATATATATATATATATATATATATATATATATATATATTTACACACACTCCTAAACAAGAACTAAATGAGGTAAACATTTTTTATTATATTTTATCTCATTTCTTTTCAGTCTTATTGAATAGAGGCAAAATGTATTAACACCAAATGTATTAATTTTGTGTGTAAGCATATTGGAAATTGAAGAACATTTTATCTAACTGCTTTAAAACTGGTCAGGTTTTTTTTTTTTATCTGGCCTGACTTGAAAGTCAGTTTCATGTTAGAATTATATAGAAAAGACAAGATGTGTGTGTCTGTGTTTATGATTTCATAGGAATTTGAAATGTAGTAACAAACCACACTGACCAGACATGTTGTCATGCACTTTTACCTAAATGGTAATAATGTCAATTCTGATCCAGGTGACAAAACATTAGTCATTTCTCATTTTTGTATGCTGTCATACTCTGCCTAAAAAGTGAAACTTTAATTTTGAGTTTAAAATATCTAAATTTATGCAACTGTTGAAATTTGAAGCTACAATACAATCAAGAAAATGTTATTATGATCAGAAATTTTTAAAGTTTGAGGATGCCTGGAAATCCATTGCCTAAAATTCAAAGGATGGCTCACACTTTTCGAGTGACATTCTCTGGCAAGAAAGGCGGGTTTTGAATGGCCTAAAGTAACAAGACGCCGTGATAAAAGAAGGCATAACATGACTGTTCTGAAGCATTGTAAATACAAAATTGGTGTAAGAATTCCAAAATTCAAAAAGTCGTCTCAAAGATTGGAGGTTGAATGAAGTTAGTTTTTCACAAAGTGGGGTGCACTGAAACTGTTGCTGTTAATTTATGGCCACTCAGTGACTTGATCATGTTCTCTGGGTGAAAAGTCATGCTTTGAGCCATCTACTGACAATCCAGAATGTCTTCAAAGGTCAGCTGAAAAATTCAGCCCAAAATGTATATCTATCACAGTGAATCATAGAAGAGATGGAATAATTGTGTGTGTGTGTGTGTGTGTAGGGGTGTCTGCCTCTGCTGTTGATGAGTTGGATTAATGTGAGAACTCTCTTAATATGAAAGAGTACCAAAATATATTACAAAAAAAAAAAAATGTTGCTTCTAAATATGGACATGTGTGGAAAAAATAAAAAGCAAGTGCCCTTTTTCCAACAAGGTAAAAACTACACAGCAAAAACATCATTTAACCAGCAATCTTTTTGCTTGATATTTCGGCATGGTCACCTAACACCTAAACCCATAGAGAACACATTGGAACTTATTAAGATTTAACTAGTGGGGAAAACAATTGGAAACGGTGACCTCCTGTGGAAAGCAATCATATATGGATGCAACAAAATTGATGCAACACACTGTAAACAACAATTGGGCATCTTGCCAAAACAGCTCAGTTTTCTGAAGAAAAACACAGGCTATCCTATTCTAGAATTTTTCTGCATACAAAAACTGCATACACTGTTGTATAGCATTATCACACATTTTATCTATATTTACTAGAATAAGAGAGTAATTGCAAGAAGTTCTTGGACAGGGTTAAATGGAATTGGCAATAATGCCCAACAAATGGAATTGACAAAGATTCCAATAAACAATAACAAAAAGAAGAACAAAGCAAAATAATATAAAGCAAACTATATATATATATATATATATATATATATATATACACACACACACACACACACACAAGGATTCGTGTATATGGAATAAATTCCAATAACCAAAAAATACTATTCTTAAAAGAGTGCTCAATACAGAATAGAGCAAATATAATTCATTCGAAAATTATAAGATAAATATGTTATAAAATCACTACAAAAATTGCCATTTTGTTTCAACACTTCTAGTTTCTTATCAACTGATGGTGTTCAAGACCATCACTTGATAAGACACCAGAAGTGTTGAAACAAAATGGCAATTTTTGTAGTGATTTTATAACATATTTATCTTATAATTTTCGAGTGAATTATATATATATATATGTGTGTGTATATATATATATATATATATATATATATATATATATGCAAGGCAAAAGTTGGCAAAGCAACAGTAATAAGGCAAAATGTTCACAAAGTAAAACGATGTTAAAATACAAAAGGGATACAGACCCGTGATTATAGAGTTCTTCAAGACAAGAAAACAAAAATATGGTGGATTAAACCGAGAATTGGCCAATCTTATTGGCTAAGAAGAAATCCCAGCATGCATCTGTCTATAAATTTTTGTCTATAAATTTAGGGAGGCTGATGTTTTTGCAGTCATTCAACCCAAGATTGGAACGAACAGCTTTTTAAAAGCTTTTTTAAATGCATGTTAAAATTTTTCTTGTAGAACTGCAAAATATATTAATAGTCCTAGACTCTGTAAGTATATAAATTTATTGTAGAATGCAAGAAATTTCCTGAATAGAGGCATTATAAATACAGTATCAAACATATCACTATGTAAATTGGGATACTGGTCAATAACAGAATACTCATAAATTTGTGATATTAGACCAAATGAATTATTGATTCATACAAGTCATTTGATATCGGCTCACTTAATGGCCCTATGGCACCATCCTTTTGGTTTTTATGAGATTATTTCAGTAAGAAATACTTTTGCTAGAAAGTAATCAGTGCTGACAATTTTAGTCTGAAAATTCTCTGTCCACCACTCCTAGTTTATATGGGCCATGTGGGAAGGTGCTGTGATACTGTGGACATCCACATAGAAAGGGAAGGTGTTTTTATCTAAATCTCAAGTGTTTATTTAATGGACTAGCAGATAGTTCCTTTTGAAGTTTGGCCTTTTAAGAAGCATCCACTTTGAGAAAAGGGTAATGGGAAGTAATGAGGGATTTTCAGGGATCAAGTGGCAACAAAAACCGAAATGTTGTATCCAGGTGCTGGTCTATATTAACAGTTATGCTTAGGATCAGGGAGAGTTCTCATCCCTTCTTCGCAGGAGACAGACGTGTCTGTGTTGCATTTTCAAGGCCTCTGTTTTGTATTGTCAGCCACCATGTTGTGATGAGTAGATGGGCAAGAAGTTGGTAGG